CCCCAAAACCCCAAAACCCCAAAACCCCTAATGATGAGATTATGAAGATAGATAAGAATAATAAGATGCAAAACTTAATCCAAATTATTGGAATTATTAAAACAATGAATTACAGTACTAAGCGTTAAACATCTCTTAAAACTTAATAAGATATAAGATTATCAAATAGATCAATAAACATTTAATCATAAAACAGAATAGAAATGTTTAAAATCTTCTTCTTAACTATACTTGCTTGTTTCTTAATTGCCAGCATAGGTACTTCACTAGCTGATGATGTTTTTGTATCCAGATAGATGAATCTCTAAGATAATGAGGAGAAGTTAAATAAACCCTGGGGTGAGGATGATTCAAATGATTTAGATCAATTAAACCAAACTTAAAACACAAATCAAACTAAAGCAAGTGAACAAATGGCTGGAGAATTCCGTAACGTAAAAAGGATCATCTAGAATTCCTAAGTAAAAAACAATTCTAATTAACAGCCAAAAATAGAAGATGATAAGATAAGATTCCATATTATTGCTCATTCTCACATGGATTATGGTTGGCTTATGACCTCTTCAGAGTACTTCAATAACTATGTAAAAGTTATACTTGATGGGGTATTGAAAAGTCTAGTCTAAAATCCAAAATTAAGATTCAGTCATGCAGAAATAAAATACTTTCAAATGTGGTGGGCAAAGCTAGATTAAAAGAATCAAACTTAATTCAAAAAATTAGTTGTTAATGGATAGTTTGAATTTTTGCAAGGAGGATTAATTTCACCTGATGAAGCTTGTCCACTCTATCAAGATCTTTTGCTAAATGCCAAAGTCGGGTAGGAGTTTCTCTATAAAGAATTTGGAGTAATTCCAAAACACGCATGGCATGCTGATTCATTTGGGCATTCTAGTACATTGAATCGCCTTTATTAATAGCTTGGCTATTAAAGCTTATTTATTGGAAGGATAAGTGATGACATAAAAATTGAGTTAAAGTAAAAGTAGGATCTTGCTTTTATGTGGAGACCAACTTTCGAATCAGAAAATGGAGATTTTGAAAATGAATAATCGTTATTTACCTATGTAATGCACTCAAAATACCAAGCAGTATGTGGGATTGAAATACAAGAATTTTGGTAGATGGCAACTGTGCCAAAGCAAATGAAGAGAAAAATCAAAGAGATTGAATCTACAACGCAACGTTATTTGAACTGTCTAAGAGATGTTGCTAGCTCTTATAAAACTAAGAATGTGCTTTTGACTATAGGAGATGACTTTGCTTACGTTTTTGCAAATGAAACTTTCAAATTTATTGACATGTTCATCTAAATTATAAATACTAAATCTGAGGGAAAGTTTGATATGTTCTACAGCACTGTAGATTAGTATATGCAAGACGTTGCTAGCGAAATTGAGACTTATAATATTTAGCTAAAAGAATATAAACAAGACTTCTTCCCTTTACTCATGTAATATAAGCTCCATTATTGGAGTGGATATTTTACTAGTCGACCTAATTTTAAGGAGATTTCTAGGGACCTCAGTTATAATGCTTACTAAAGTTTAACATTTTACTCATAATATTTAATCAAAGATCTGGAATCTAAAATATCGTTTTAAGATATTAGTAATTTATTACAAGACAGAGTAAGTGTAATTTAGCATCATGATACTATAACTGGGACTTCTCGACAAAATGTTGTAAATAAGAACTAAGTGATGATAGATTAGCTTTTATATGATAATGGCCTTGTTTAATCAGGCTTCCTTAGAATTGAAATGAAATTATTAGGACTTCATTTGAATCAACTGAAGCTAAGTCAGCATAAAGTAAATGAGTTACTATCTCCCATTATAAATATCCCATTTAAAATGTCTTTACTTCTGATTATTTACAACCCCTCTTTAGGATATTACTAGAATCCATATGTAAAAATAGACATTGATACAATTTAGATAGAGGCTTGGGATTACGAAAAAAATGACTTTATACCAATTGATTATTAATAAAATTGTGAAGCTTTTCCTGATAAAATATTTCAAGAATGTGATACTTTTCTTGATCATACTATAAAACCATTGCAATCTGGTGTATTCAAGATTAATTATAAAGATGGTAGCGAGGAAAGTGAAAGACATTTAGATCAGAATAGTATATTGCAAATTAAGGATAAATCTAGAATAAAAATTGGGAAGGAAACTTTTGTAGACTTGAAATTCCAACATCCTTCGGAACCGTAAGATTAAAGCCAAAAAGGTCCATTCAGGGATAATGTTCCTGATATCCCGAATGAAATAAGAAAAAGAGATTCTATTCAAGATGATAATGGTTCTATTTTAAAAAATATAGAGTAGGTAGATGGATTATAAATAAACAATTTTCACTGTAGTTTGACAATAGTTAATACAACTGAAACTACGATAGTTTTTAAATACAGAGAATCAAATCATATATAATCTGAATAAGAATATGAGAGATTATTCAGTTTTGATTTTAGATATTATACTACATACAGCAGAGGATCGTTGCAGAAAGGTGGAATTTACACTTTCAAGACAATTGATAGAGATCCTAGAAAATTCAAGCACTCTATATTAAGTATTAAAACTAGAGATGGTATTATTCCAACTATGGTTATTATTTATAAGGACTAATAATACAGGCACTAGATTGTCAGGATAATACTACCACAATATGACTAAAAGAAATAGTAATGCCAACCAATCGAGTTTAATGTAGACTTTTCAGGTATAGATATAAACACTGAGGTGACTATTAATTTTGAAGATCTAGAAACTTAAAATAATGGAACTTTCTATACAGACTCAAATGGACTTGGCCTGATCAAAAGAAAATTCAAAAATGAATCAGACATCGACAAAATAAAGGCATTAGCTCCTTAGAATTTTTACCCAATAAACTCAGCAATATTTTTAGAAGATCAGAATAATCAGAATCAAATGATCGTGATGAATGATCGCACTTAATCTGGATCAGCCTTTAGGAAGGGTCATATAGAGTTAATGTTTAACCGGAGATCTTCAAGTTCTGATGATTTGGGTTTGCCAGATATGATAAATGAATACGATTATAAAAATTTCCCTATTCAAACAAATAATCGATATTATTTAGCATTTACTTAAACTAGAAAGGCTGCTTTTGATATGATATTTGAACATACAATAAAAAGAGTCCAGAGTCCACTAGTATATTTTTACTCTGAAGATTTTAGACATGAATTCAGTCCAAAACAAGATCAACAACTCTTATTGTTGAAAAAGAAAGAGACTTAAAGAAAGATTTATACTGATTTCTTGAAATCTATGAATGTTATTGATATTAAACTAATTCCTGATTCCAACTTTAAGACTATTTTGATTAATCTCGTCATTTATCCAAATGATGTAACAAAGTAGATAGATTAATCGAAGTTGATTGAATATTTATGTGAGTATAGTAGATTTGATATTCCACGTGGATGCTTAGACCTAAAGCAATTCCAGATTAAAAGAGTCAAACTTACAGGATTAGAATTTGAAAGTTAAGAAGAAATGAATGAATTTGATGATTATGTCTACAGAATGGAAACTTATAAAATCACTCTCTGAAATTAATTAACGATAATATGTAAATTTCAAAATTAAAATTTGATTTAGCTCTATGGGGTTTTGGGGTTTTGGGGTTTTGGGG